ATATAAATAAACATGTTGTATTGTACTCATAAATGTCACGCTTAAATCCTCGAAGGCACAAGTAGCTTAAATTGGCAATTTAGTGGCGTTTTAATATGATATGAGTAACCATATAACATAGCACTGTTACTGACAAAATTTGCCCGCCCCGGAACTCAATTTCGACACGAAAAATTTTTATAAGAGTTATCGTTACAGATAAATATAGGTATGTAAACTACGTAATCAACTAATCATAACTTTGAATTCTAAAATATTGTTATCAGTGAGTGTATAAGGAAATTTCTAATTGAATATAATATAGATATTAACTACAGTTATTGAGAAATTTGATTCACGCGTCCGGCTTAACAACTAGTGGTAGACCACTTGGAGTAGTAAGCATTTCTTGAAATTACCTATAGCACTAAAAATTCTGTGAAGTTATTTATGACTTCACAGAATTCTGTGTTAAATTGTTCGAAATACTTACAATATATTTTTTAAATGATTTTAAAATAAATGATTTTGACAGCACGGTTGGTGCGGTGGCTGGGCAACTGGCTGCCGTGCAACGTGTCGCGGGTTCGATTCCCGCTCGAGACAACACTTTGTGTGATCCACAAATTGTTGTTTCGGGTCTGGGTGTCATTGTGTACGTGAACTTGTATGTTTGTAAACGCACCCACGACACAGGAGAAAATCCTAGTGTGGGGCAACGTTAAAAAAAAAAAAAAAAAAAAAAAAAAAAAAAAAAAAAAAAAAAAAAAAAAAAAAAAAAAAAAAAAAAAAAAAAAAAAAAAAAAAAAAAAAAAAAAAAAGATATTGAGGGTTTAGTTTTTTTTACTAGTATTTTAGTACTAGTAATACATAGGTATGTATAGCTTTATTCTTTAATACTTACCACATTTTTTCTCTTTGCTGTTAGTTTATTCTCCGTACCTTATTTTTCGCGGATTTTCTACTTTAACCCTAAGGTTGACTGGTAGAGAATGCCACATGGCATTAAGTTCACCTTATGTGCCATAATCAACATACTTATATTATGTAGGTACTTAAAGTGACAGTGTCATTGGGGAAGATTAGGTATTCTTTGACCATGAAACTTGTTAACTTATGACTTAGTAATTCATTGATTAGACTGTTTGCGCAGCGATAATCTAGCTAGGAAGTGTAAAAGCATAGATATATTGGTTAATCACAATGTACACTATTATGTATATTTTGTCGTTATGATATATTATATCTACATTATAATATATATGTAGGTTTGTTCCTATGACAAATTCAGTAAATATTCTTGTCTTCTTTCTATCCTAATTTTACCTAACGTAATGATATGCACATTGGAAAATAAATATTGATTCAATAAAGAATCAGTTAACAACGGTTATAAGTAAATTATTATAATCAAATTTCGTATTTAGTAAAGTTTTATATTTAATATTACAGTGATAATAGTTACTGTCTCTAAAGAGTGTCTGTCTCTATATGTGAAGTCAGTTTCTAAAAGAAAATTTTAGGGATATAATTAAAGTTTTAGATTAAACGAGTGAATTAAAATATCTGATACAGTACAATTTTAAATGTATTACTTATCACCTATACCAAGTGGATTCAACCGCGTTCCTGTGGGATAAAACCTTGTTCTATTTCAACCATTTTAGCCATTTCAGAACGAGTAACAAAAAATAAACATACAAACATATTATTATGTTTACAATGATATAATTAAGACTCCAAAAGACAAATTTTACAAATACTCGTTTCCTGTCTTGTAAGAAAATATATCTAATTATGACTATGACTAACAAATTATGTTATGAGAGAAAGTTATACATTCAAATGACTGTACTTAAGCAAACAGAATTATTTTTATCAGATCGTAAAATTTGACTTTCAGTGCAAGCGTTGTAGTTGAAACAAGGATTAAGCTATTAAAGTATGACTGAGCGAAGTATGAGTCAGAGTGAATGAGTTTATAGGTTCTGAATAAGCAAGAAAATGCAGGAAACATACTTGAATTCGCTAGCGATACAGATAATTATTCTAGAATGTTTACGTTTCATATCACTGGTCATTAAAATTAAAAAGTTCTATAGATACGTGGTATGATAACTACTTAAAGCATCCGTGATTACTAATATCAGCTGCAATAAATTAAAAGTCGAATATTTATAAACAAAATGATTCTTCAAAACTGTCAATGCTGTACCAACCGATAATGTAACATTTACGTAAGAATTTTAAATTAATTTAAGAATTTTAATCTAAACCAGATAAGGTACATATTTGTAGGTACTTTTATCGTCGTATGACGTCATAACATAATCTTTATCGTTAAAACACAATGTTACTATGATATAACTAATCCATTCATTCATTTTTTACAGACGAAACTCTTCACTTCGAAATCTAGCGAATTCGAGCTCGAAGCGTTGGAAGTTCACAATGAGTTCAGAGCAGAACATGGAGTCCCGCCTCTTGTCCTAAGCAAGGAGATCAGTAAACACAGTCAGAAATGGGCTGAAGATCTCGCTAAGAAAGATTCCCTAGCCTACAGCCTCAACCAGAACTATGGAGAAAGTGTCTACTGCGGCTGGTCACCAGATCCCAGCACAAAAATAAAGGCAAGGGATTGCGTTGAGAAATGGTACAGCGAAATAAACGACTTTTCATTCGGTAGGGAACCAGAAGTACTTACTTGCGGACACTTCACTCAGATAGTTTGGAAAGGTACCAGGGAATTAGGAATCGGCAGTGCCAAGAGCAAATCCGGGAAACTCTACGTTGTAGCAAACTATTACCCACCAGGAAATTACAGTGGACAATTTATTAAAAATGTCTATCCCCCTGGTGCAAACCAGTTTAAAAGAAGTATCAGCTCCCATAAAGAGACCAATAATAACTTATCACCACCGTCTCCATCGAATCAAAGGAACAGTAAAAACTTGAGCGACATTGCATCAGATTTGGTGAACAAATTCCGTTCTTCTACTATCTCTTCTTCAATTTCTAATGAGAAATTCGATGAAGAGTTTTTGAAGGCGCACAACGAACATAGACGAAATCACGGAGTGCCTCCACTAGATCTTAATAAAAAGCTGTGCAAGTACGCCGAGGAGTGGGCGAAGACGTTAGCCAAGAAAGGGGAAACTGAACATAGAGACCAGAATGAATATGGAGAAAACATATTTTCCGCATGGTCTACTGATCCAAACTTCACTGTTGCTGGAAGGGATCCTGTTGATAAATGGTACAGTGAAGTGAATTTCCACCGATTTGGTCAAGAGCCTTTAGACTTGAAGTCAGGACATTTTACGCAAATTGTTTGGGAAGATACAAAAGAGGTTGGTGTGGGCGTGGCCAAATCTAAAGATGGTCACATTTACGTTGTCGCAAACTACAACCCTCCTGGCAACGTAATCGGCAGCTTCTCAAAGAAAGTTAAGCCTCCTGTTAATTGAGTTTTTACCACCTAAGTTAGTATATAGACAGCCAAAGAAACATTCCTTAGAATTTAAGGCTATTTAAATTATTTTTAATTAAATAGTAATATTCCATTTATTTTTGTAAACGATATACCTCTATTTATTATTGTATTTAAGTTTACTGTTTAATTATATTTTATACTGAACTTTACGTATTTTATTAGTCAATTTGAATAGAATAAAGTTAGTCAAATTGACTTAAAACATTAAACTCACTTACAAGATCAGACATAGTTCGCTACAACTAATTAATACAAAACTTATTTCTACAACATTGTACTGAGAAGTTGCTACATTTTATCTCCAATAGGTAATACAATTTTTTTTATCAAAGTTACTATATCTATTTAATTGCAAGGTTGGCTCAGTGGCTGGGCAACTGACTACCGCGCAACGTGTCGGTGGTTCGATTCCCACACGGAACAACTCTTTGTGTGATTGTTGTTCCGAGTCTGGGTGTCATGAGAAATTGTATGTTTGTAAACGCACTGTTATGTGGGATCTTGAAGACAAAAAACTATAATTGCTTACGAAGATTTTCAAATGACGTCGATGCATTTAGTAAAACGAAGTAAACAACTGAAGCTGGCTCAGCAGTTTACTTAGCCTTGGTATAGCAACATGATGCTGATATAACAGCACCCACGACACAGGAGAAAATACTAATGCGAGGAAAAGTTCTATTAAAGAAAAATAGAAAGGAAAATGAAATACCACAACTACATATCAATTGTTATAAGCACGGATATTTTTTTTTTAAATCTAGTCTATACTTTAAATGATTGAAATTTCAACAATTTAGGCCTAAAATATACAGATTTTTTTTTTCTTTAAAAAAACGTTGCCCCACACTAGGATTATCTCCTGTGTCGTGGGTGCATTTACAAAAATACAAATCCACATACACAATGACACCCAAACCCGAAACAACAATTTTTAGCTTCGTCCAACGCGCTGCCGGAGTTGGAAGCAAACGCTCGTAGTGTCCGACAGAGGGCGCGTTGGGCTCGCAGCGCAGGTGGCAACACCGAGACGAGCGCCAACGCCAGCCAGTGAGCTGCGCGACGTCGCCGCGACCGCGCACGCTGCTCATGAGGAAGAACCCCTCTGTGGTTCGAAACTAGTAGAGCTTTTCTCAGTATATTCACGTGAGTAACCCGCGTTTTTACTTAATTTAGTATGTCTCACGATAGTTATTATAAAAACATAACAAACCGGTACGGGACGGTAGGGCTAGAAAAAGTTAAAGAGTTTACGCGATTAAGATTGAAACGCAAGAAACTCGAATGTGGGTTGGATTTTATAGTGCAGTGTCGTGATAATGGTGTAGTGCCGAAATTCGCGCAAATCAAACCTATAAAATGCATTCGAGATTGCGATCGATTCTTCCGCGTCGCGAGTGAAAAATTACTGTGTCGCACAATATCCGACTACCGGCGCAAGTTAGTGTTCATCAACAACGGTATGTACGAGCTACACCTACAATTGTCGCGGATGTTGGATGCCGAATTATGGAGGGTTCTGGATACAATGACGTACAATCGAACGGAGAATATTGGGAAAAGTACAAGTCAAGGGCAACATGATAAATTGACACACCTTATACAATCTTGTAAGTACCCGCAATTTAAACATAAATTGCCGAACAATGGAAATGGGTCAAACACGGTTGTCAATTTGTCATCAAAACAACTATCAGCTGATGCTGTCAATGTACTTACCCGAGGCCTAAATTACGCGCCGGCACCTCGGAAATTACCTGTGGAGGATATCATAACAAATGTCGAAAATACAATCTTCCGGAATAGGATACCTCGCAGTGACGCCGAGTGCCTGCGTCAAGACGTTTCGTCATTATTGCGCAAGTCATCGCCACCTAAATCGAACATACCGGTGAAGGAGATGTCAGCACTCCGTGATTTGCGTAATGATTCGGATATCCTAGTGCTACCAGCGGACAAAGGCAATGCGACTGTGGTGGTCGATACGGAAGCGTATGAGCAGAAGATCACGCATATGCTTAGTGACACCACAGTATACAAGCAGGTGTCGTATGATCCGACTGCGAGGGTAACTACGAAAACTATCAAGTTACTGCAGAGCCTTAGTGACAAGGAACTGGTGGCACGTCTGCGCCCTCAAAACCCAACGCCACCTAAGATATACGGGTTGCCCAAAATCCACAAGCCAAACTGGCCCCTAAGACCAATAGTTAGTCAAATAGACGCACCTACCTACAACCTGTCGCGTCATTTGGCTACTATACTGCAACCGTTTACCGGTAAAACAAACACCTTTGTGAAGGACTCCCGCCATTTTGTCGCCTTATTGGAAGATGTTCGCCTCCAAGACACAGACATTATGATAAGTTTCGACATAACATCGCTATTCACAAATGTTCCTGTAGATGAAACGATATCTATAATTACCAACATACTTAAGGACACTGATTTACCTACTGGATACATCGCGTGTGTTAATCATTGTCTCACCACAGGTTACTTCCTGTGGAGAGGGGAATACTACCTGCAGGTGAACGGAGTGGCTATGGGGTCGCCACTGGCGCCGGTGGTGGCTAACATCTACATGGAGTGGTTTGAGGGTCAGGCCTTGGCATCCGCCCCGGTACGACCGCGACATTGGTGGAGGTATGTTGATGACGTGTTCGCGATCGTCAACCGGGAACATGTGGCTGAATTTGTGGGACACTTGAACTCAGTGCACGGCAGTATACAATTCACCACTGAAGAAGAGAGAGAAGGGATGTTGCCGTTCTTGGATGTCCTCGTAAGACGAGAAGAAAATGGTCGATTGTCACACACAGTGTATCGTAAACCGACACACACGGACCGGTACTTGCGAGCTGACTCACACCATCATCCCTCCCATCTAGCCGCTGTTCCCCGGACCTTGATAAACCGGGCGCTGAGTCTATGCGATCCCCAGTATATTGACGACGAATTTCACCACTTAAAACGGGTACTGGAAAACAATGGATACAACTGGCGTCAATGTACTCGACTTGCGAGCAGCTCGAGTAGGAAGCGACCGGCAGTTGCGGAACGGACTCCAGCGTTCTTACCATACGTGAAAGGAGTAACCGACAGAATCGGACACCTGCTTCGCCGTAAATACTGCATCAGGACGATCTTCCGCCCACCCGGTCAGCTAAGACAACTACTACGCTCACCTAAAGATAAGGATCCACTGGCTGTACCCGGAGTGTACATAATACCGTGCGACTGTGGCTCGAGTTACATCGGGGAAACTCGTCGCAACATCACAACCAGGCTAAAGGAACATATACGCAGCGTGAAGAAGATGGACATCCAGGCATCGGCAGTGGCTGAACATGTTTGTGGTACGGACGCGGCTCACTTCATACGTTTTGATAAGGTCTCCGTACTAGCGAGAGAAAAATACTTCGTTCCGCGAAAAGTGCGAGAGGCCATCGAGATCAGCCGACGACCGTGCTTCAACAGGGATGGTGGCTGGGCACTGCCACCCGCGTGGAAGCCGAGCTTGGAGTCTTCGTCGATCCACAGCGTCTCCAGTCTGGAGTGTGACACAGTAAGCGTTATATGCAACACTGACTTTGTGCCGAACCCGGAATCGAACCCACGACCCGCGCCGCTGGTGAACGTACCGTGCGCTTTAGCTTCGTCCAACGCGCTGCCGGAGTTGGAAGCAAACGCTCGTAGTGTCCGACAGAGGGCGCGTTGGGCTCGCAGCGCAGGTGGCAACACCGAGGCGAGCGCCAACGCCAGCCAGTGAGCTGCGCGACGTCGCCGCGACCGCGCACGCTGCTCATGAGGAAGAACCCCTCTGTGGTTCGAAACTAGTAGAGCTTTTCTCAGTATATTCACGTGAGTAACCCGCGTTTTTACTTAATTTAGTATGTCTCACGATAGTTATTATAAAAACATAATTTGTGGATCACACAAAGTGTTGTTCCGTGCGGAATTCGAATCCGCGACACGTTGCACGGCAGCCGATTGCCCAGCCACCGCACCAACCGTGCAGTCAATTAAAAGGAAAAAAAAATTGAAAGGAAAATGAAATACCACAACTACATATCAATTGTTATAAGCACAGATCAATATTTTTAAATCCAGTCTAAACTTTAAATGATTGAAATTTCAACAATTTAGGCCTAAATTATACCTCTACAGATTCGCATAAAATGATATAAATGTATTTGAGCCATTAAGATGAAGACGTTAATTAAAAATAAGTTATTCATAGATTTCAAGAACAGTTGTTTTGCAACTAAATAATGTTAGCTCGATTGACGCCTAAAGGTTCATGAACCTTTTGTTTTACGCAAGAATTTAATTGTGAATCTGAGAATGGGTGAGATGATTCTTTAGTAAATGCTAAATTGTTAAGATATTTCTGGCCGTAAAAAGGTTAAGCCCATGAAAGCGCTTCATATCGGCCTTCAACTGTTCGCTTCGAGAGAACTTGCCCACAAAATAGATGTAGATAAAGCATGAATCGTTGCAAGGGTATCTACAAGCATACTTTACTTCTAAAATTTGTTAAATTACCACTACTACGATTCTCAACCTTATTATCAGATACTGAAAGCTGAATTTAAAGTGATTTTCAGTCTGATAGGTCCCGAGTAAGGTGCTCGATGTCTCGTTGGAATTTCGTATCATTAGTTTTGAAAAGCGTGTTTCAGAGTTGAGAGCAGTCACTTAGTGGTCTAATAAATTCTTCTAAAACCTTTTTATTTTGGTCAAATAGGTATTTTACTGGCCATGTACCTTTAAATAATAGTAATGTTCACTTTGTATACTTTCATTATACCTTTAAAAAAAACTTCATTTAGTTTTATTTTATGTCTCTATTGTATTGCTGGATTTTTCAAAAGTTAACGATACGATTATGGGATAAGCGTGGACGTAGTGTTTTTTTTTTTTCATTTAATAAGTGCCTTTATTTTTATCCTAATTTCTGCTGTATTTAAACAGATAATCAAGTTGCTTTTTCTTCTTAATGACGTCATTTGGAAAATAGAATGAGTGTTTGGTAATATCGAAACTATAGTGACGTACAATGCTTTATCGCTGGACTGACTTTTTATTTATCACTGTAGTTTATTACTGTACATATTTTGAAAGTATAGAAATAGATACTTATGAGCAATCTATTAAAATTATACTTTTTACCAAGTACACACAAGCGTTCGAAACAAGTGACTGAATTATTGTGCATGTGGTTTTTTTTATATATTTTTTAAGGGGGGAAAATCATCGAAGTACTTCCCCTGCCTGGGTCCCGAGTAAGGTGCTCGATGTCTCGTTGGAATTTCGTATCATTAGTTTTGAAAAGCGTGTTTCAGAGTTGAGAGCAGTCACTTAGTGGTCTAATAAATTCTTCTAAAACCTTTTTATTTTGGTCAAATAGGTATTTTACTGGCCATGTACCTTTAAATAATAGTAATGTTCACTTTGTATACTTTCATTATACCTTTAAAAAAAACTTCATTTAGTTTTATTTTATGTCTCTATTGTATTGCTGGATTTTTCAAAAGTTAACGATACGATTATGGGATAAGCGTGGACGTAGTGTTTTTTTTTTTTCATTTAATAAGTGCCTTTATTTTTATCCTAATTTCTGCTGTATTTAAACAGATAATCAAGTTGCTTTTTCTTCTTAATGACGTCATTTGGAAAATAGAATGAGTGTTTGGTAATATCGAAACTATAGTGACGTACAATGCTTTATCGCTGGACTGACTTTTTATTTATCACTGTAGTTTATTACTGTACATATTTTGAAAGTATAGAAATAGATACTTATGAGCAATCTATTAAAATTATACTTTTTACCAAGTACACACAAGCGTTCGAAACAAGTGACTGAATTATTGTGCATGTGGCTTTTTTATATATATTTTTAAGGGGGGAAAATCGTCGAATTACTTCTCCCGCCTGGGTGAGGCGGGAGGGAGTGTCAGACTTTTACTGACTAAAAACCATCCCGTTCCTTCTCCTGCACTTTGAGCCGGAGCCCCGGTAACCCGTTAGCTTCTCCGCGACTCCGAATCGGCATCAGCCCTGTTGGGCCCCATCCGTGGTGGTCTGATGGCTCTTTGAGGCGCGCGCAGAACGCGACGCGCCCTACACTCGGGATCGTCTCGCCAATTGTGCATGAGGCTGGCACTGGTGCATAGGTTTAAAATTACATATCACAAGCGGACGAACTCTCTATATGATCCATAAGTTACTGATCCATGCTTAATGTAAATAATATGATTTTGTAATCCTACGTCACAGAACCAATTAGAAGGGTGTGCTAATTTTTTTAAATAATAACCATCATAAGTATATGGACATTCTCATATATTATAAGTCCTACGTCCAAGATCTAACCAAACAAACATACACTCATCACTCGTCACACATGTTGAGTAGAACAACTGCCCTATTTCACGGTATGAATTCAATATTGTAGTTCCAGTGGTTTTGATGACAGAACTTTTATTACAACTACATTGGTACTGTGGACTGTGGTGTGATCATGTTTGTGTAGTGACTGTTTTTGCTGAGAGAAAGTAATATGAATGTCTTTATTTATATTGTTTGTGTGGTAGGTATGCATATCCTTATCCTTACTTCCTTACTTAATATTATAAATCGGAAAGTGAGTTTGTTTGTTTGTTCCGCTTTCAAGCCGTAACAACTGATTGCTTTGAATTTTTGTAGACGTAAAGTTAGAAGTCTAGATTAAATAATAGGGTACTTTTTACCCCAGAAAAATTTGATATTCTCGAGGGAAAACGAAATTATTGATATAGATGGCGCTGTGTGTATTGATATATGTCACTTCTTGTCAGGCTACTTTTTATCATTTTGTGACGCGAGCGAAGCTGCGGGTAAAAGCTAGTGTTTTATATATAAAACTAGCGACCCGCCCCGACTTCGCACTGGTGTAATATGCATGTATTATACATATAAACCTTCCTTAAGAATCACTCTATCTATTAAAAAAACAACATCAAAGTCCATTGCGTAGTTTTAAAGATCTAAGCATACATAGGGACGACAGACGGCGGATAGCGACTTTGTTTTATACTATATAGTGAAGTAGGTATATCGTTTTAATAGCATTTCCCAAAAGGTGGAGTGTAATTAAATGAATAAGTGTGTTTTATTTCCCAAATGTGATTGACAAAGATAGATTCAGTGCACAAAGAACAAAAAACTTAAACCTTTCCTGGTTTCTTATAGTGCACTGAGACTTTTAAGCTATGTTAAAATTTTACCTGGATATTGTTGTATCCGGAGATTCAAACTAAAACCTTATACAGTGAAACTTGGTTAAGTGGGACCTGGATAAGTGAGAAACCTCCATAACTGGAACTCATGCTGAGGTCCCTACACTTTGGCACTGAATTACCTCTGTTAGTGGGACGAGGTAAACCTCTATATCTGGGATTTGTTCTTTCGATTTATCATCATAGTTACCTCTATAACTGAGATGGCGAGTAAATTTTATATGCATAAACCTCTGTAACTGAGATAACATTGTTTGTTTACTCATTCTTATTCTACCCATAAATTCCACACGTAATTCCAAGTCCACCTCTATTAATGGAACGTTCTGTAAATGAGACAGATATTTATTTATACCTGTATATCTGAGACACTAGGTAAGTGGAATACCTCTATAAGAGAAACGATATTGCAGGTCCCTTGATGTCTCACTTAACCAGATTTCACTGTAATTCCATTAACCATATAATTCTGACTGCACAGTTGGTGCGGTGGCTGGGCAACCAGCAGCCGTGCAACGTGTCGCGGGTTCGATTCCCGCACGGAACAACACTTTGTGTGATCCACAAATTGTTGTTTCTTGTCTGGGTGTCATTGTGTATGTGAACTTGTATGTTTGTAAATGCACCCAACACACAGGAGAAAATCCTAATGTGGGGCAAAGTTTAAAAAAAAACATAATTGTGTACCTTACTTGATAACTAGTCAAATTCAATACTTTTATCCATTTGTCAAAAACGACAATTTTCTATGAATTTTGCACGAAATTGTGTATTGTGACGTCACGTTTTTAGCGTCAATCAGCACACTTACTATTGCTTAATAATTTCCTGAATAAATACTGAAATTAAGTTGGTCATACAATCAATTAATTAAAGTGTGATTGTTTTTTAATATTTTATTGTATTGGACAATCGAAATAATTTATTTTTGATCAAGAAACGTACCCATTATCGACTGCTCAAGACTCCTAATTTAATTTCTAATAGAAAGTCTACTATCAAAACCCGATTGGTTGATTTACGTAGGACATACAGATTTAAGATTCTATACATATTATAAAGATTGATTTAGTATTGAGACATAGCTATTTCTATGACTATACTTTATCTCTTCTTCTTCTCTGTCGTTTCGCTGTTGGCAGAGCGGTCGTGGTCACGTTGAGGCGGCCGTATTTGTGTTGGTGGCCGATACAGCTTTCCTCACGATCTCCCGCCATCTCTCTCTGTTTTTCTATACTTTATAACAAAGCCGAATACTTCGTAAACATGCATCGGTCGGCTCAATAGTCAATTACTAGTTACTATATACATATATTGAATCAGTTTACCTGTATTGAA